GTAGCTGCTGAAGGTGAAGCCTGAGGCCTTGCAGAGGAGCTTCACGGCCCCCCCGGGGCGGAAGAGGCACCTCCAGACTCCACCAGCTGCACGGCCGCCATCATCCCTGTGGGGAAGAGGAAGGAGAAGGTTGAGTCCTGCTGGCCTGGAGGCATCTCCACCATCTCCAGCAGCTCCACAGGGGCTGGGGCTCCACCTCCAACATGGTCTGGGTGAGACAGGCCCCTGGGAAGGGCCTGGAATACGTGGCAGGGATTTGGAGCAATGGTGGTACCACCTACTACGCGCCGTCGGTCGAGGGCCGCGCCACCATCTCCAGGGACAAGGCCCAGACACGGTCACGCTGCAGCTGAACGGCCTGAAGGCCCAAGACACAGGAACCTACTGCGGTGCCAAAGAAACTGGTGCTACTCACGGAGGCACCAGCCAGAAGGGGCCACCACCCAAAACCCCCGCTCTTGCTGGGTGGCTCATGGAGAAGACACGTCGGGTGGTTCCGGGCCCTCGGCGCCACGCTTGGCAGGAGAGTCTGGGCCTCTTTGGGCCTGTCTGGATCCAGATTTCGTTCTACTTTACCTATTCAGGTCTGTTTGGACACAAATCTCAGCATATTTAGGTTTTTTGGGCCTGCTTGGACCTAAATCTGGGCCTACTTTGCTCTTTGGTCCCATTAGGACACAGATCTGGGCCTACTTTTCCTTCTTATGCCTGTCTGGACTCAAATCTGGGCCTCCTTTTTCTATTTCGGCCTGTTTGGATGCAAATCTGTGCTTACTTTGCCTCTTCAGGCCTCTTTCTACCCAAGTCTGGGCCTACTTTGCCTCAATGTGCCTGTTTGGACCCAAATCTGGGCCTACGTTGCCTCTTTGTGACTGTTTGGGGACATGTCTAAGCTTACATCATTTATTTGGGCCTGTTTGGGGCCAATTTTGGGCCTACTTTGGCTCTTCGTGCCACTTTTCATTAAAATCTAGGCCTACTTTACTTACTCAGGCCTGTTTGGACCCAAATCTCAGTCTCTTTTGCCTCTTTGGGCCCGTTTGGACAAAGATCTGGGCCTACTTGGCCTATTTGGGCCCATTTTGCCCCAAACTTCAACCATCTTCATTGAGACTGGGGGCAACTCATGAAGGTTCAGGACAAAAGGTCACAATTTGGGGCAAAAATGGTCAAGAACTGGGGCAGAAGGTGAAGATTTGGGGCAAAAGATCCAGATTTCTGGCAAAAGATCCAGATTTGGGGCAAGTGGTGAAAGTTTGGGGCAAGAAGGGTCAAGAATTGGGGCAGAAGATCAAGATCTGGGGCAAAACCAGTTGAGATTTGGGGCCAACTGGTTGAGATGTCGGCCCAGATTTGTGTCCAAACGGGAGCAAAGAGGCAAAGGAGGCCCAGGTTTCATCCAAAAGGGCCCCAAGAAGCTCTGGGAGTTGCCCCTGGAGATGGTGGCGTGGCCCTGGACAGGATTTTGGGGGGGAATAATGGGAATTTGGGGTTGAAAATGGGTTT